GCCTGTAGTACCACCGGGAAAAGCAAGAGGACTTTTTTTTCCTCCATAGCTTACCTGTCTAATATCAATCTGTCAGGAGATAGTGACAGAGTGAACAAATATGCTAAAAATATACTTTTTAGAAAAGTTACATACTGCACCTTTAAAGAGGTTTTTTTTAAAAACTTAGGAGAAGTGACAAGTTTCAGGGAAAAGCATTTAAACTGTATAGTTATGCTCACAACATAGAAATAGACTGGGATGATGGAAACATTGGCTGTGGGAGACATTGTTTATCACATGTAGGAGCACTGACCTGTTCGGTTTGAATACTATCCAGACACACAGACCTTAGCTTTCGTCGTAATGACAGCAGGCTGTTTTTTAAACCATTGTTGCATAAATGTTTGCAGGATGTCCTGGGTTTGGGTCAGATTTTCTGGAACAATGGCCTGAGTCACTCATGCACATAGTCAGTCTCTCCTTATATCCCTCTTTTACTCCCTCTCAAACACACACGGACATGAACCGACAGAGCACGAATAAACTGCTTCCAAACTCGCATCTCTTTTCTCAACAACTGTGGCTGTTTGCCTGATCGCTGCTTGCTTACGCTGCATTTGTTTGACAGCCATTTCGTATAAAGCTCAGGCAAATCTAGTATTCAGGTCAATCTGCGAGTAAGGACCTGATGACCCGAGGTTTGCTACGACAGTGATGTTTTCAGCTATAATCCGTGCCACATGAAAATTTTGATTAGGCACAGTTATTTTTGGACCTGCCGTAATCACAGTGACAATTTGACACAGGTCTTGTAATAACAGCCCACTGGCACCAACTGTGGCTGTCCACAGACAACCCACCATCTCTGGAGTCAACATTTTCTGATTCTTCTGACATGTTCAAGCTTTATTTTTCAGACACGTTCCATCCCAAGGGGCTCTTTTGATGCCTTTGTAGCTTTTCATATTCCTGTGTGTAAGCTAATGTCAGTGTCTCAGTTTCGCATTCATCATTGCTGTCAAAGCCAATGTGGCGTAAAAAAAAAAAGAGAATCACGGGCTGCTCAGTTTTGACTGAACTGTGGGAAATCACTGGTGTGGAATTCACTGTAGGTGCTAACAGGTTGATGCAGGTTTTACAGTGCTAATCAGCAGTTAGCCTGCGGCTTTCATATCTGCACCTCAAAACAGGAAGTGGTTACCCAGGACAGAAATAAAATGGGTGCAAACATTTTGCTGCGATCTGATAGACGTGTTAAAAAGGAAGTTGAGAAAATACAAGACGTAGAGGCTTATGTGAGCTAAACTGCTTCTGAGAGAACATTTCATTCATCACATGTGAAGTCTTGTGGAGTGGTTTCACTTAATTACCCCCTTCCAAGGAGAGATAGACGGTCTCATTTGCAGTCTCCTTAATTTTTTTGGGCAAACTCTATCTTTTGCACATTCCAAATTCAACCAAAGAAAAGACAATATCTGGCCTTTACACTTTGTTTTTTTTAACATTCAAGACATGTCCACCAGTATGGCAAAAAATTATATTTGAACTATAATTTTGAAACCTCAATTTTATTTGGCTTACTCCAATTTGTCATATGAGACTCAGAAAGGCTCATAGTTTTAAAAGAAGTCTGAGTGGACAAAAATATACATCTTTATGGTCAACTACTTGAATGCACCTGGAATATTATACAAAATTATGTATTTAATAAACATTTTATAAGTTATTTGGTCCAGTCCAATTTCTGCCTGTGTACCGGCTTCAGCTGTTTTTTTTTCCTCCGTTAATAAAATCAAACAAAACTGCTAAAGAAGTAAAACTTTCAAAACAATTCGAGTGTGAGAACCAACATCTACAGTTTGAGAGTTTCTGCAACATATCAGATTACTGTGGCAGACCATATTGTCCCAATTAGAGCTACAGGTGATGGAGAGGTTTAGTATTCAGTACTCCAGTGGGGAAAACAGTAGCATGTAAGAAGTTACAACAGCAGTGTGGGAGGTCTGTTTGGACCCACCAACACCAAATAAGCCTATAAATCATTCAGCATTCAGATTAAATTCCAAACACGTGTCTGGTTTCAGGTTACATGTTAACTCCATGTGACCTCTCAGTTTTAAAAGGTGACTATCATATATTATCTAAATAAAACCCCTTTTTTACCTAATGCAGTATTTTCTGCTGCTTGATTACATGCAGCTAAAGTGTATTTTATTGGGATCTGTAAATGCTTTTAAAAGAAAAACATTTAGCTGTTAATCTCTTTTCACATCTATACATCCAGGCCATCCTTCCTGTCTCTTTTCTGCTTTATTTGGTCTGCTGACATTGATTTGTTTCCATGGTTGCCTTTTGTTCTTTATTGAACATCTCTTTCTCCATCTTAACCCCCCACTGGCATTTCTTAGCAATGTGCTTTTTGTTTATTTCTTCTCTCCTTTTCCCTCCCATCAGTCTTTACAGGACATGCTCGCCTCTCTGCACTCTGAGCTTGACATTCAGAGGTATTTGATGAAAATCCAATTGCCCCACAGAGTTAGTTGGCCTTTTATCTTATCTGCATCATTCTGGTTAGTGTGTCAGTGTGTGTGGCTATATTCTTACTAGTGTCTGCTGTATAATCATGTTCCCAACACTCGTGCTCCGGGGAACTTAAGTGTTTGCTCTGTCTGTGCCTGCCATCCTTCCATGGCTGCCAAGCTCAAACCAATTCTGGTCACAAAGGCTTACAAAAAAGCATCCTTATTATAAGATTTTGATTTTTTTTTTCCTGTCTGTGTACGAGTGTGAGAGAACAGCAGCATGTGCACGCAGGTGTGTTGGATAACCTGATGGGCTTATCCTTGTGTCTCTAACTGCCATTAGCTCTCCAGCACCAAATTGGTGCTAGAGATGAAGAGTGTTTTATAACAGTTTTTCATTAGCACTTTCTGGCCCCTTGGTTACAGTTCTGCCTCATGTCAGAGTGGCATATTACCTTACAGCACAACACTGTAGTCATGTCCCAAATTGCCTTTTTGTAGAACACAGTAAAAAGAGCTGATCCTAAATGCTTTGTGACACTTTATGATTCCTAAACACTCTAAAAGCACTTTAAATTCTTGTTGATCCACACTGTAGTTTTAAATTATGACTGATTATCTAATGTGCAGGTGGAATTGCCTAGGGAAGCGTTTGTATGACACTGATGTGTGAACATCCATCTAGGAAAAAAAACCTTTTTGCACATTTGCACGACTTTGGTTTTATTTTGTTATTGTTCATGAATGAAGCTTAAAGTCAACATAAAAGGTCCTTTAATCATTTTTGGCAAGGAGTGCGTTTGGCTTATAAAGCCCATGGCAGAGTCCTTTGCTCCTCTCACAAAACACTTTCAAGCCAGGACTGCGACATCTTTTGGCCGTCTCACTGTGATTTGTGAAAGGACCGAGGCGACATAAAGGTGGAATTCATCCCGTCACCAAGCGAGGTAGTCACAGTGCTGTAATGGTCTACATATGAACAGATCAGTTGACTTTAAGACTCCATGGTGTGAGTGATGGCAGGCTGTCTGAGTGACCAGCTAGCTAAGAATTTTAATTAGATGTCCTCCACACATTTTTAGGATCAACCTCCACATCAACTAGGGGTGCACCAAAAAAAAATCGTTTTACATCAGAATCGTGATTCTCATTTACAAAGATTCAGAATCGATTTAAAATGTCCCAAAATCGATTTTTGTAAATAAAAAAAATAAATAAAGCAAATCCAAAGGCCATCATCCTCCATTTTGTAACTACATGGGGCGTCCTGACATCATCACGCAGCTGCTTCTGGAACATATGAATGCGCAGAAAGCACCAAAACAAAGAGAAAACTACAAAACTGTAAGAAAGAGAGATTCAACTGGCCCTGTCTTCATTGAATGCAAAGATTTGGACTCATTTTGTTTTTTACTGAATGAGTCTGAGTTTGACATGAGCGAGGTGTTCGAGGTTTACAAAATGAAGATGAAGCAATTTGGGAACACGACAAATGGGCTCACATTATCAGTTTTGAATGAAAAATCGATTTTGAATCGAATCGTGGCCCCAAAAATCCGAATCAAATCGAATCATGAGAGAGTAAAAGATTCCTACCCCTAACATCAACACTGTCGACTCACACACACTTCATGCCTCTTTTGATTTTGCAATGCTAGCCTGATTAATGAATGTGACAAAGTCACTAACTCTATGGTTTTCTAAAGAATATAAGACACCAAGAGTAAAATTAGAACTCTTTTCAAGACCATTAAGTTCTTGCATGTGTAGTGTCACTGTATGAATGAATGATTCATGCTCTCAGCGCTCACTGTAACGTATCCTGTTGCCTCTCCCTCCAGAGCAGAAGTCCAAAGCACGGCGCCAGCCCCCAGCCGAGTGTCGGCGATCAAGTCGACCACCTATCTCTGGCCTCCGTAGAATCACTGGACGCCATGTCTGAGACTGATGCACCCACATCCTTTACCCGGGGCAGTCGGATCCGTGCCAGCCTGCCTGTTGTTCGATCGACCAACCAAACAAAGGATCGCTCATTAGGTATGCTGTGTATAAGAGTTTCTTCTTGTTGCTTGTTGAAAACAAGTTACAAATCTTTGCAGCAATGTCAGTTGTAATACCAGCATTATGTGATGCCTTTTGAATATCATAGAGAATTAGAATGAAGTGTGGAATCTGTGACAGACAAACGGGGGCTTTCCTGAAACAAACTGAATCAAACCACAAATGAGCTCAAGCACAAATGGTGGTGACACTTTGTGACTGTATTTGACCATTTGTGGTCAGTGGTTTTCAGAGGTGTTCCAAAGCCTTGCATTTGTTCAAATAATGGTATTTTTTTATGCAGTGCTGCCTTAGGGCCTGAAGATCGCAGCTCTCCTGTGCTAGATTTTAGCTTTGCCCCTTGTGCATAGAGATTTCTGTAGTTTCTTTGAATCTTTTGGAAGTCACACTATGCAGAGTCGTATCCAGCTCATTTGTCTTCAAAGTTTCTGTCACTAAAATACCCTCTTAGTCTTAATGTGGAATGGGCTATGACTCTTCAGCTTCCCATTTAGGGAATAGAGGTTTATATTATTCTGTTTCCCTACACATCAACAGTTCTACAAGCTTTTCTGCAACTATACAAATCTATGTTCATATTTATTTATTTATTTATTTATTTATTTATTTATTTATTTATTTATTTATTTATTATTTTTACATATTTGCTTTTAAGTTTTTTAATGTTAGCAATACTGCAGTGAAGTGGTTAGAGCTGTCACCTCTCAATAAGAACATCTCAGGACTGGTTGTTTGCCTCCATGTGTCCCTGTGATGGATTTGCGACCTACTGTATACAGGGTGTATATATTTCTGACTTTTTAACATTTTCAAATTGTGAATCATGATTGATGTAGCAAACAATCACATGTATGGCACAAAAAGAGTCCACAGTGTAGCAAAGCAAAAGTCTTTATGATTTTGCTAGACTTTCTCTGATTTATGTGGCCAAAAGAACTGGTTATACTGGAGTTTTCTTGCTCAGAATTTTGTTTCCAGTTTGTTACCATGACTGTGCTTAATGCAGAGTTGCACATCATAGCTTAAGGTGCCACTTTTAGATAACGCCAGGTTTACTCATCTTAAATCAGAAAATGGATTTTGCTTTGAATCTACTTGACAACAGAACAAAAAGACTACTCTAAAATTCTACTCTTCTGTACATTTACTTCTTCCTTTGAAAACAAGATTTGTCTGGTTAAAAAGGGTTAATATTTATGCAACATTTTGTAGGTGAAAGTCGATAATTAAAAATGTATTTTAAATATTTGCTTACATACGTATAAGGTCACTTCATTGTACTGATAAGTTGCTGATTTAGTGCAAAGAGTTGGCAAACTTTCCAAACAAAGTATGCAGCCTGTGCAATTTTTTCTGATGATTTCCTTCAATCTTAGCTCACAGCTCATTGAGGCATTTGCTTCTGGATAAAAGGAGCTGGGCTACCTTGTGATTAACTTGAAAATGAATTAACCACAGGGTGTCTCTTTTTCATGCTTTTTAGTGCCTTTAGTGCAACAAAACCTATTTAAAACAAAGAACACAGCCAGTGAACTTGAAAAAAAAGCACATTTAAATTCATCTACACACAGCAACATGCACACTTTTACTTTCTCTTTTCCCATCAGCATCAGAATAAAGCCTCTGGACAGTGGGGGGTTATGGTCGAATGAAGGGGAGGAGAAAAATTGGGGGGCACCTCTTTACGGTCGTGTCCCTCCCACAGGGTTTCACACACATGCACACACACACAGGCAAAAAGCACACGCCTCACTTAGTCCCAACGGACATTTGGGGATTCCTTGTAGCCTCGTGTCGTGGTGGAGGAGTTTCAGCGTGGGCTTTTTCTTTGCTTTGTACAAACAGACAAAAGGAAATCTTTAAAACACCTAAAGTGAGTATAACATTCCTTTAAGAGTTTAGTTTCAATTACACTTCTTGCATAGCCCTTATTTGTGTCTGTAATATTGTGTCTTGCTTATTATTTGTTGCAATTTAAAATTTGTAGTAGGCAAAATGGAACAAAAGGATGACTGTTCTTATTTTAAACTTTCGCGTCTTACTGGAGAAATGCGAAAACCTTAAAAGTTTTCTAGACTTTGCCCATTTGGTTATAAAACCCACTTGCCATTTGCTTCCTGAGTGCAAAATCAGGCACTTGGAGATGTAACACCATCCCACTTTGGTTATAACTTGCACATTAAACTTTGTTGTTGCAAAGCCAAAGAAATCCTCATAAATCATGTTTGATCATTGGCACTCTTGTAAAAACCTTGTTGTTCTACTGGCTAACATCTGGATGAAACCTAGCCAACAGTTACTGTAACTGATCTCATAGAAAAGAAAAGGGTTTTCTTCAAATGGGCACTTTGTTGAGGTACGCAGGAACCCAGACAATCCTGAAAGCGCAGTGGACGAACTCAGCAGTTTTATTTCCTGGATTTGCCTTCACTCTGTCTGGTGAAGCATGTAGAATCTTGTATAATATTTCACCAACATCTGCTAGCTTTTACTAGCTTGTTTTCTTAAGAAACTTACACCATGTAAAATCATGCCTGCTTTGCCTAAACAGAAATATTTTTACAGGAAAACTGCAAACCTGACTTTGAAATATTTTCTGCATGTTAAGAAAGGAGTTTTTGAATAAAATCATCCATTATTGAATTAAATTATTTAGCCAACTACATAATTTTATGATGTTCTAATGTTGCCACTGCCTCAAAAAAATCTCAAGCGGGCTTATTTTTTCCTTCCCTGGCACTGTTTATACAAGTGCAGGGTAGGCGTGTTCATAAATTTTGTGGGAGAGACATCTGTTTTTCTAAAACACAGTACAGAAGCCACACCCAGGGTTCAGAGGTTCAAGCTTTGGTCTCTTTGATTTGCAGCATTTACTGTTCCACCCAGAGCACACAGCTTTGCTCTGTATTCATGTGCCAAGTCACTATGTTATTATGAAGTTATGTCTTCTATTTCCATCAATTATTAACAAAAAAGCATGTTGATTTGTAGCACTGACATGAGTTGAGTGACAGGTTTGGTCCAGTGTTACTTCTCGTGAAAACATGAATCGTAGCATAAAGTGCAGGCCCAGTAAAACTGTAAGCGTGTCTAAATTTAAATCATTAACGTCACAATCTTAGAGTAAAAACAAACTAAATAATTTGCATTTCTTATGAATATGCAGGAAACATGCTTCATACTAAAAGATTTTTGCTGAATTGGTTAAAAAGCTGAAACTAGCCAAAAAAAATAGGTAAAATAGCTGAAATTATCACAAAGAAATAGAAAGAGCACATTTGCTGAATTACCGGTAAGCGGAAAAAAGTTGAAATTATAACAAAAGGGAGAATTCAGCTGAAAAAAATGTCCAAATTAGCTAAAAAGAAGCCAGAATTACAGAAAACAGCTGAAATTAGCAGAAAGCAGCTGAAAGACGCTTAAAAGGCTTAAAATAGCAGAAATAATCTGAAAGAAGCACAAAAAGTAGAAATCAGCAGAATAGCAGAAAAGGTCAGAATGGTAGCGAAAAGAGCAGAAAAAAAGCTCAAATCAGCAGAATAGAAGCCAATGGATACTAAAATTAATACAAAGGACCTTAAAAAAGCAAAACTAGTACAAAAGGTAGAAAGTACAGTAAATATTTATGAGCATTTTGAAGGGTTTTAAATATGTTTAACTCAGCTCTGTTCATTTTCAATGAGGAAAAACATGGCAGAAAAAGCTAAATATCTCATAATATATAAAATGCTGAAATACCAAAAGTCATAGCCTGAATAACCTGAAGGAGCTGAACATTTTGATATATATATTGTTTAAATAGCACAAAAATTGTCAAAAAACTTACCGAAGAAATTTGTGTGAATGCCTAACAGAATTCACGCTAATTACTGTATTCATTCATGTATAACACTAGAAATTTAACTGTAAAAATTATCCATAAAGTGGGGTGTAGTATTATACATGGGTTATTGATGATTAGATTTTTTTATGCTTCTTAATCTAAAAAATGATAATTGTATTATACTCAAGATCGTTTTATACATGAATAAATATGTAGGTTTATTTGAAAAATCCATTGCTGTCACAGCAAAGTTGTGTAAGAATCTAAACACAAAGTTTTTTCTGTCCTCAGGTGTTCTTTACCTGCAGTACGGGGATGAGACCAAACAGATCCGCATGCCCAATGAGATCACCAGCATCGACACCATCAGAGCTCTGTTCGTCAGTGCCTTCCAGCAGCAGCTCACCATGAAGATGCTGGAGTCGCCAAGTGTTGCCATCTATGTCAAAGACGACATGAGGAATATGTACTACGAACTTGCAGATGTCAGGTAAAAATATGTTTGTATGTGATATTCAGGAATAACCTGAATATCACACAAATATATAGGGGAAAAAACATCTAAGCTTTATAAAAAAATTCTTGTTTATATGAAAGTTCTGTATGATATGTTGTCATTATTACTAGAACAATAAAGTTGTGTCGCAATAAAAATACTGTGAAAACTGACCTACTATTATCCTAGAAACCCATCACAACACAAAATTATTTTTGCAGGTCCAGCCTTGTATTTGACCCTTTTGTGCATAGCTTTCTCTGAACAGGAAATGTTTTTTGGCCAGGAAAACTCACATCCTTTTTCCCGCCAAACAAAGAAAGTTATTTGGAGTCTGAGCTGTTTCCGATCCACTCAAATTTGAAAACACTTAATAACTTTTCACGGCGTTCCTTTTTGTCGCATTCTCTTAGAAGGTAAAAGTTTCAGCATTGTGAGCTTCGTCTCTTTATGATTTTTGGAATGTAATTTCCTAAGCACCGTGTTGTGTGTACTGTAGCACTTAGAAGCAGAACAACACAGTGTAGTTCACAGCTTTTTATTTTTTCTTCGTTTTGTGCCTTGCTGTTCCCTGGTTTGGTATTCTCCTGAATTATTTATTGATATTACTGCAGAGCTCATGTGGTGATACATTAAAGAGAAAGAACAACCCTTTTAATGCCAAAGGAAACTTTGCCCATTTTTGTCTGTAGAGTTCCTGCTCAGGTGAGGCGTGAACTTTGTGACTAATTCTTTATGAGGGTTGTAAAAATGATCTTGTGACACTTTAAGGTTGGTATGAGTGTCCAGAATGCAATAGAGAGCGAGATCTGGACATGGGAACAACAGATCCCTATGTCTTTTGTTAGATGAAACACAGTTTAGGAAACTATTAGTAAGTTTTCCAAGACAGTTTGGATTTTGAGAAAATGTCACATAACGGAGAGTTTTCAGAGCCACTGACGGGGTATGTGCCCCTGGCTGGGCTGCTAAAGAGAACCAGGTTGAGACAGGATCGGCCGCATTCGGATGGAGATGCCTGGGCTGCGTTTTTATCACCGAACACCTTCTTTCCTTACAGGAACATTACAGACCACTCCTGCCTGAAGGTGTACCACAAAGACCCAGCGCAGGCCTTCAGTCATGGGTCCCGACCTGCCAACGGTGATGCCAGGGTGAGTATGTGCTCGCGGCTCACACAGCAGTGAAACTTTGTCTCGGCAGCAGCTGCGAGGACATGAATAGATTTGTTGCAATTAAAATAGAGCTCTGCCTCCAGTTCTTTTTATTCCCACATCCTGTTTGCAGTCGAGGGAAGGAATGTCCCCCTGCCTCTTGTTAATCTGTTAGGGTGGGGGGGTGCTATTGTTCTCACAGGGGGCCTACCTTTGGGTCTCCCCTGCATGGTCTGGTGCAGCTTTTTGAGGGATAATTCAGCTCCATTCTTATGACTGTTCCACCGATACCCGTCACTCCCCACAATATAAACTCTAATCATTAGTTTCTAATTCTTCTGTGTTTATTTCCTACGAAAGTAAAATCTCTTTCCTTGGATGTTTTCTTTTCAAATCGATTCCTCTAATCCACGCGGCTCTTTATCTGACTTTGTTGTGCTGTAGAAACTCGTCTTATTTGTGTTGAGGTAAGACAGTTTCCTCCTCTTCTCCTTTGATTGGTTCCTTTATGAAAAGTAACCGGAAGAAAACTAAAAACAAAGGTTGCACTGAAAAATTATTTTTTTTAAATGACATCTTTAAACCTGAAAGAGGACTGCCTCTGTTGAAATTGTTGTGCTTTTAAGCTGTGGTTTTGCACGATAAATAAATCTGTGATCTACTGAATTTTTGCTATTTAAGATAAAAAAATAGATAATAAGAACTTCAAATTCATTACATGTAATACCATGTAGCTTTAAGGTAACAGACATCAACAGACAGACACCAGCTCATGTAGTCACTGTTTAACCAACAAGCAGTTAACACAAAAACAAAGTTTGCATAAGGCCTAAGTATAGATAACGCCCAAAGAACTTTGTATTTTCTCATTTGTTGTATTTCAAACTAATACAGCTCTATTTGAAAGTGTGGGGTATTTATTTTTGGAATATTAACATAATATAAATGTTAACATTTAGAAACAAACACAAGAAAGATGATTGATGGCAGTTGTCAAAGTGACTGTGAAGATTTAGTTTATGTTTTATATTCCTCTGAAGAATCGTTACTATAGACAGTATCTTTTAAGTAAATGGTTTTTTAAAATATATACAGCCGGAATGAAGTGGCTGAGAGGCCTAGTTACTCTCCATAGCACCTTGTAATGATCAAGTTGAAAGCATGCCTGTAAACACTGATTGGACCCCCAATCAGCTGTGATATGATTAAAAGACTCAAAAGATGCTAAAACAAAACACTAAGGTTAGTAATGAAAATAAACTCTAACTTTACCAAATGGTTTAGAGAACATAAATTATTTTAAATCTACTGTAGTCACAGCATTTATTTAGGTAGACTGTTTGCCGTAGAGACTTAAAAGCATAATAGCATAATAGGTCTCTTTCAAATCTCTGCATTTAACCAATCACACATGTGAACACACGTGCAACATGGAGACCATCTTGGAGTTGAACCTGCTACCTAGGCTAAAAGAGACCTATTATGCAAAATTCACTTTTTAAAGATTTTTTTACTCAACTTTGGCAAATAGGCTTTAACAAGGCTTTAATAAGCTGAACAATAGAAGTACATGAGAAAACATGTTCATATCAAACGAAAAAAAAAAAAAAACAATTCTTCGTGTCCAGGCCGGTATCGAACCCTGGTCTCCCACTCTCTGGTCCAATAGTTTACTCATTGTGCTATAAGAGGCTTGTTGTCCACTGAGCTGCACATTACACAACAGCACAG